GGTGCTTAAATCGACCAATCAAATAGCATACAGCAAATAACTCAGTTATTCGGCACTTCGTGCCGAATAACTATTAAATATATGTGCGTACGTATATCTCTGGTTGAGTGTAAATTTTTTTTTAAAAAAAACAAGCGTATGTATAATAATATAATAGTAGATTATACTATCTACGGATAGTTAAGATTAGGGATGTTATGATTAGGGTGAGGGTATAGGTCTGTATGAATAATTCTAGAGTCTGGTCAACTATCATATGCATGAGTATAATAATTAACCCGACTATACAACTTTACATAGGACATGTATAGAAATATTATTAGTTCAAAAAATTTAGTTTGGGCTTTTTAATAATAAAGATTACATTTATCCATTTTACGTGTATCTATCGCTTCTTTAAACATATTAATTTGTAAGCTTCTTTATATGAGTTTTTTTCGTTCTCTAGTAATATTACTATATTAAAACTAATGATGCCTGACGAATGGCGAAACCTTTCGTCACTGACGAATGGCGAAACCTTTCGTCACTGACGAATGACGAACGGTTTCATAAGGCAACTTCGAATTGACGAATGACGAAACTCGTGACGAATGACGAATGACGAAACTTACGAATCTCATGACGAAACATCAATTTTATGGCGTAAAAAACAATTAAAAAAGATTTACCCTTTAAGAGTCATTGAAAACTAGCTAATGGAAATAAATTGGTCCATATGAACTTTTTTTGTTCATTATCATATCCACCCAGTTTAGGCATTTTTATCCGATGATTTACATTACTCGCCCGGATGTATCCGATAGGTCTGACGAAGAGGGGATCGACGAAACTTCGTGATAAAATAACAGTAATTATGAAAATTTAAGATTCAGAAATATCCATAGGTTATAAAGGTGCTTGTTGAAAGATTGACAACTGCATTTTAATATTTTATTGGTCTAATTAATTTCGTCAAGAGTGTCGTCAATCGTCAGAAGTTACGTCAATCGTCAAAAGTTACGTCAATCATCAGTAATTACGTCAATCGTCAGTAGTTATGTCAATCATCAGTAGTTACGTTAACCGTCAAGTTTTGTCTGACGAACCATTGACGAAACCATTTCGTTAGCCCAAAATAGTTTCGTCAGGATCATTAATTAAAATAATACAGTAAATCATTTTGGTTAATTAACCCGGGTAGATCTACAAAAATTAACAAATCATATGAATGTCTTCCTATGACTTTTGGCCGCACCAAAATTTGTTTGGCTAAGAGCGACGATCAAAAATTTAGGCTGAAATTACTCAAATCACAGCCGACTATTAATTGAAAAGTGTTCTCTGGGCTAATTTTACCATTGTGCAAGCCTGATTAGGGGTGTATTACACAAAATTACATTTTTCATTACATGAAATTAACTTACGAAACTGTCGGCATTAATAGATATCCATCATTGTATTCTTATATTTATTTTTATGTTAGCCTTACAAAAATTTTGGCCAAAATTATTCACATGATCAAAATTACATGTAATTTTGATTTCAGAAATTTACACAAATTTACGTAAAATTACGTAACTTTCCAATCCTAGGCCTGATTCCTAAAAATTTCTATTTTAGAAATGAAAAACTTCAAAAGTTAATTCTGGCAAAAATTATGTGACCAATTTTGTAATGCAGGTCAAAATTTCGTAGATCACAGCCGTTAGCCAATTAAAATTGAGAATCTGCCGTGACAAAACTGGCATGGCAGCTAAGTTATTTCATTCATCATGTAAAGAACATTCCACAGTCAGGAATTAATCTAACCAGCCTCTGAGGTCACCATCACTGCGACTTTTTATAATTGGACCTAAATTAAGAACCCCAAATTGCTATTTGATTTTCGTAATAATTAATAATTATTACGTATCAACCACATGACGCAGGATCCCCAAATCTAATAAAACTAATATAATTATTGCGTCAAACCCATCTCCCCACCTTAAAACCCATCTCCTATTTTTTTAAAGTCGATCTGTTTATGGTATATATTTTATTAAAAATTTTAAGTAATTGATAAAATTTATTCAAAGTGTTTTCCAAAATGTATTTGTTGTAATAAAACAATCAAATATTAATTAAATTATTTATATTGTATATATATCTCTTAAATAGTTAATCATGGTCAAATCATATACGTCATAATTTTTAGGGTAGTATAAAAAGTCGCCGTAATGCAGAGTTAATTTTGCTATTGTAAAAGTTCATACGGAGCAAGCAGTATACGATTATTTTGTGATAAGAGAAGACGTTGCTGTTTGAATTATAAGCTAATATATCTGTATATTCATTAATAAATTAATATTTTCAACATTACAAAATTCTCGACGATATAATATCGTTTTCTTCCCGGCGGCTTGAAGAAAACTTTGGTACAAGAGTAGGATCTTGGATCGTGATCGGAATTGGAATCACGAATGGGAGGATGGTAACCACCCACATCGGCGTGATAATTTCCCCATGTGACGTTTCAATTGGTACCTTTGATAATGTAAACTTTTAGATAGCAATTCTTCCTTGCAAAACAATTTGTACGTTTCATTGAAACTTATAATGAAAATGATAAATTCTGCACCTTTCATTCCGTCCTCTGGACCAAATCACTATTATGTATGTTGGCATAATGAACAGACTGGATATTAAAAACATATTTAAATTTACTATTCAAATCAACCATTGCCATCAGAAGTTTGAATCTGAGCCTTGAAGTACAATATGTCAAATCAACTCTACAATTCATAATGATTCATAATGTATTGATTCCAAGTGCTAATCTTGGTTGTATAATTCCATCATCACTATTGTTAAGTTTCTTTTGAGGCTGAACGGACCAAATATTTGGTGGGAAATTTTACACTACAATTAATGTACGAGTAATTATATTTCGAAGCGTCATATTTCATATAATCTTTCGTTGATTAGGAGTAGGTATATCAGGCTTTTCGAACTAAAAAATTTATCAGAATCCCTAATATATGTATACATTTTTAAAAAGTATAAACAAAAATTAGCACAACCATATAAGCAAAATATTCATAACTAAAGCTAAAGTATATAAGCAATAGCTACCTGCGTCACCAACTTGCATTCAAGATCATGCCAAAATTTGAACCATTTAAATGATCTCCTGTAGTATCAACTCCTAAAATGAAAAAACACATCATCCATCAATTAACATTTATAGTAAAACTTGCAAATGAATTGTTATATTCACCATTTGGATAGATTTCGGCCTAATTTTTTTGAATAGTAGGGTCTGTGGAATGTCAGCAAATGACTAAGCTTTAGGAAAACCAATATATTGTCAAACCTCATGATACAAAGGAATGCCTATAATAATATTTATAATAAACATGATTATGAAAAAAAATAAATGAATTTCTGGCACAGGTAAATGTCCTATCACAATTCCTACTCCTTATAATATCAAAAGCTGCTAGATCAAAAATATTGTGGTCAAAACTAATACCTTTTTTAGTTGAATTTGCTAAAAAAAAAATATCAGCTTCTTTCTGACATTGAAGAATCATAGTCCAAAGTACTCTTTCTAAACCAAATTGTTCCAGAAGCGTTTGGTTTCAAAAATCGTTCAAAGCTAATCATAAAGAGTGCTCCGTATTCATCCTGAATGCGGTAAAAGCCACTAAATAAATTTAAGAACTTTTATTAGACATTTTTCAATTAAAAAAAAAATGTAAAAAATTATCAACTTAATTCACTATGGCCGATTCCTATTAATTCACATTTATACCAAAATAACAAGATCTTATCATAGAGTTTCTAACGTGCAGTAAGATTTGGATTATAGTTTTGATAGGCTGGTAAAGAACGGCCAAGAATGGCACCAATTTATTCTTCAGCAACAGCTATATGATGAATGCAGTAGTCCAACGTTTCTGAAATAAATTATTTAATCGTCAACAGACGAATTTAATAACGAAAAATAGCAAGAAAACAAACAATGAAGAAATCATCGATGACCCACAGCTTCCTAAAATATTGTTCATCAGTCCAGGAACTACCGTATTTTTGATACAATTCTTCAATAATTGATTATGTTCGCATATCCAAATCGTCTGGATGGCCAAAGTAAATATATTAAATGCATGTCTAGGAGTACCTAAATATATAAACCATCCGAAGCACTTTTCGGAGGATATTATTGGCGTGACAATATATGTCTTCAAATTTCTTTACTAGTAGATTTGTCTCTAAGCCTTTCTTTTGCGTTCTGATCACTAATTCCGTAAATAATATTTAGGTCAAGAAAGGGAGTGACTACTAAGAGGATTTTGCGTTGCTGGATTAGATTAGCCGGTAAAAAAGGTAGATTAAGTTGGTATGGAATTTTTATTTGGGTTATAAAGAGGATCATTCACTATCTGATTTAGCTTCGTTAATATCAAGAAATTTTTTTTGAATATTTTTAACTGTATTCGAACTAGTGCGGATCATCTGTTGCATTCCCCCGAAAAAAGTTCTGATCGAAAATCTCAAAAATTCATTTAAGGTTTGTGTTTGTATTTGGGCTTAGATATAAAAAAATTATTTAGTAAAATTGTTCAAGGAACTTTTTTTGTTAGAGCGCAAAAGCTGGTTTCTTATGCTAATTTTTGAGAAATAAGCGATTTTTAAAAAAAAGCTCTTTGTTTTGGATCTTTAAAATATTAAATTCATGAAGCACAATGATCATAAATTCATATACAACTTATGAAATAGCTAGTCCGTTGAATGATTGATAATTTGACAATGCATCGAAATTCACCTTTATATCAACATTAAAAATTATTAATAAAGATATAAGCAAGGTCTTACTTAATGCTAAAAAAAATAAATATAAAATTTTTATAAGTACTAAATTTTTAAACTAAAAATATTGTTATAAAAAGGCTTGACTATATAATAAGTAATAGCTTTATCTTTGTATTTTAGCTAAATTTTTTTTCATTTAATATATCAACTATTGTTATTTAGTTTAGTTTTAAAATAGTATAAGAAGTAGTAATATAACTAGAGGGTAAATTAACAATACTCAAACTAATATTACCAAATATTTTTAATTATCAAATAAGTATACATTATCCGACAAACTCTTATGATCATGAATTTATTTCTGTCTGTTATTTTTTTCATGTGTTATGAAATATTCATGTTTACTCGAATTAAAACTCAGCTGACAACTCCTACCAATCATGATCATAAATTGTCGGGTAACACCACCATTATTCGGCAAATTTTTGAATAACAGCAATTTGGCTCAACCGGGCAAATGATTGGCTGACACGTGCCGCTTCGCAGCACGTGTTCATTTGCCCGGTTGAACCAAATTTCTGTCATTCAAAAAATTTTTGCCGAATAATGTATACAAATTGAACCAGATTTAAATATTAATTTTAATAAATTGTAAAAAAGATTAAAAAGTTTAAAAAAAAAAATGACAAATGACTTTTAAATAGAGCAATATATAATTACAAATATAACAAAACTTATAAAAAATTATAACTAATGTTGTATATATAGCCAATTACTTTTACTAATCTTATATTTACTTTAGAACAAAACTTAAATATTTTTACTAAATGAATAAAAAATATTTTTTGATTTGGATTTATTTAAAATTAACCGGTGGTAAATAGAATTTTAGGGTTAGGGTAGTGTTGGCAGGCGAAACTATTTTTGGCAAATGGCGAAAGACGAAACTAAACCGGCGAAAGACGAAACCTGGCGAA